TTGTAAAATAGAATATTTGATTATTCACGTGAAAATTCAAAAGTGAAAATTTGATTGTTCACGTGATCAAGAAACAATCTCAGAGAAATATAAGGGACCAATTCTCCAAGTCAAAGGAGAATATCCCTAATAAATACAAATTTATTAACCAACAAATCTACTAACGGCTACTAAATATCAAACAAACAATAGTTATAGCAATTCCAATTAAACATCATCATAACTCTCTCGCCCCCTATCTTCTTTCGGCAATTTCTCATGTAAGACACCACAAGTACTGCCATGACATTCAATGGATAATTTATTTTCCAAAGAAATTATTATAGTCGTACATATATGATTATAATCATATTTTATTTGCAGGGATGGTGGTAAACAATCAGGGAAGCAAAAACGCAAATTCAACTGCAATGACAATTCGTATGGGGAAACAAATCAGAAGTCTGTGAAGGTTTTTTTTTCTGTTATTTGTCTTTCTTATTTTAAAATATATAAAGTAGTAATTTTTTGATTATTTGGCTGAAAGTTGTATGATTAATTTTATGATATCTACACGTAATCATATATAGGATGTCAAGCTTTCAAAAAGCATGGACCATATCACAAAAATTATGGAGTCGTACAACGAGATGCATAGAAAAAAATGTCAAAATTTTATTAACGAAAAGGTATGTTTTCCCCCCTATTGAATATATTATTAAAGAAAATATTTATATGGTAAAGTTTATTCAAAATTATCTTTATGTGCTAATACAGTTTGTTTATGTGCTTACTTAGGTCCCGAAATTCGAGCACAGAACCTCAATTCCAAAGTTATTAGACGTAAATAAAACCCTGAAAAAGACTCAGATAGAATGTATTCACTAGGCCAAAATGAACGACTGGCGACGAAATTTGGCGACGAAATAAGATATTTGGCGACGATTTTTCGAGACTTGCGACGAAATATTTTCGTCGCCAAATCGGACAAAAAACGTCGCCAAACTCCCCGTCGCAAAGCTTGCGACGAAAAATCATTTCCGACGCGAGGTTTGGCGACTAATCTGGGAAATCGTCGCCAAATTCATATTTTCCGAAAAAATGATTTTTTTAATCCTCGCGACGGATTCCATATTTTCGTTGCGTAGTGTTTGTGACGAATTGTTATTCCGTCGCCAAATTTAGCGACGTTTGTTATGATTTCGTCGCTAAGAGTGAAAATATGTTTGCGACTAATAATGGTTTTCGTCGCACGGCATACAACTTATTTGCGACGATGTGTTTATTTGATTCGTCGCAAGCTAGTCATTTCTTTTGTTTGCGACTATAGTCTATTTTAGTCGCAAAGTTTTTTATTTTTTTTATTTTTTTTGAAATTAAATTCTGGTTCATATATATTTTCAATTGACGAATTCAACCTGTATTCAGCTGTTGTATAAAAAATAAACACTTATATCAAAAATATTAAAACCAAATTTACGGATTAAATATCAAAAGGTACACAAACATAAATTTAAAAAGTACATAAAAACTTAAAAACATATAATTTTGTGTTTCAAACTTTAATGCAAAAAGCAAACAAACTTCATCCCTTTTTATACTCCACCATCATTAGAAAGAGTCGATGTCGAGGCTTCTAGTCCAAAACGCCCGGCCAAGGTGTTCACAATTTCTCGGGTTTCACTCTATAGTCTTAGTTCTGTAGTTGGAATACCGGCCCCTCCGTATTCCCGTGTCTACTCGACCGATAGCCATGTTAAGATTCTGATTTTCCTATACATCACCGTGCAATAACATAAATGAGAAATCATTCGACTCAAATAATATAACCATGTTAGATCGAACTTGCAAAACACATAACCACATAAGTAACAAACATATACAAAACATTTTCTTCCTTACAGTTTCTTATAACATACCAATATAATTATCTTAAATGCATCGTTCATACGTTTTCTAGGTTATACATTTATGTTAACGTATAAGCATACGATAACTATAATAGCACATGCACACATAATACATGAAATTCAAATCCACATACTCCATTCCAAAGAACTATAAAAAAATCGTATCAGCTTTGCAATATAATCACATTAAGATTCCAAAACAATTTACAATTAAACCTTAATGATGAACTTCAAATTACTTAAGCGAACCTATACCCTTATCAGTCCTAAATCAATCGAGAGGTATCCTTAAATAGAACTATGTCCTCTAAATAACGTTCCAACAACTCTTTTCAGTCACAGTACTATATTTAAGAAAATTTGGCAGCTTTTGACTTCAACTTTGAAAATTCGTATCTCTTAAACCGTACATACAAACCTTATGAGGTGGAGTGTGGTAAGCAAAAACCAACCATCGATTCTAGCGAAATCTCGTAGGCCAAGCCGTTGAAATAACAAAGAAGCTCATTTACGAATATTTGTAATTACATCTTCCGGAAAATGAGGTGGAGTGTGGTAAGCAACCTGCAGAGTCTGTGATCAGTTTTATTTCTGATATTGCTTGAAACAAGATGAGAGATATCCTTGAAAAGGTATTTCAGTGAAATTTTACTCGACTCACTATACCTGCTGTGTCGGCAGATATTTCCGCCGATAATTAAAAATAATATCCTTTTCATTTGAATCGGCACTGCCGTGAGATAGAAGTTCCACCTAGTAATAAAGACATTGATTCTATGATAAGTGAATCTAAAATAAACCAGTCGTACGAACCTATATCAGCAATTAAATAAATATCCAGATACTCGAAGATATACTCTTAGCATGATAAGAGACGAGAGCATATACCTCTGTCGGGAGTAGAGCAACTGGCTGGCAATCGAAACCAGAACCCACATCTAGGACGATCGCTGTAAATTCTCTACCTCCTTCCAGAAAAATCTCTACAATAACTTTATCATCAATTCCCTGTTAAACATTTACATTTCACTTTATTAAATTTACAGTGAGTCCAGAAATTCATTACGCGAAATAGAGGATGAGGCCTAGTATTACCTCTGATATAATTGCATTAGCTTTTGTCAGAGAATCGGTAACGCCATAAGCAACGGTAACTCCGATGCTTGATCCTGCTCTTGTTGGCTTCACCTGATATTATTGCACGAAAGATGGGACTGTAACAAAACTGTCGAGTATCTCTAAATGCTGAAATTCGATAAACAGTCTTACCACAACTTTTCCTTGTTCGACATCTATATTATTTGTGACGAACCACGTTGACAGCTCAGTTTCTTCCGATTCACTTCCCTGAAATTTCCCAAAAAAATAAAAGACTAAAGAAAGAATAGAAGAGAGTATGCCAATGCAAGCTGTTACTGCAATAATTTAGGAGAATAATTTCAAGAAAAAAAAATTAATGAAAAATCATTTACGGCAAAAAGGACAACAGTTTTGAGAAGCGGGTTACATGACAACCAGAAAATTACCTGTATTAAGAAACTGGGTACGGTAACAAACCCTTGTTTGTCAAGCTCCGAAGAGGCATCATACTGCAAATAGTCCAAAGCAAACGACATATTAGCTCAATTACCAAATAGGAGTCTGACCCCCGCAATTTATTTCACCCCAACAAAGAATTTTCATCGAACAAAGAAATTGGATCTCAGATATAAGTTAAGACTCGTGTTGACTCAGTGAACGAGAAAGTTACCTTATCAAATGCTTTGCGACATTCATTCGACTGCGTCCCAACAAATGGGATATTTGATTTCTCCAACAGCTCCTGCAAAGTAGTTCATACGAAAAAGATATCACAAAATGTACGACAATTGGTTCACTATATTGAAAAATGTATCAACAAATAAACAACTTTTGTAAGTCACCACAATCTCACTTGAATGCCACCGTCTTCACCGAAACGGCCATGTATAACCGGAAATACTATGTCCACGGAGGTGGCAAGGTGTTCGACAAAATCAGACAATGATTCGAAACAGGAGCGAGGCTGCAATTATAATGTTGAACTTAGTTTTCGAAAATTGATTAAAACAAAATGGTAAAAATATCCCGGACAAAGCTTACCTTTCGAGTTTGAAATCAAAATCTGCAGGTGTGTTCGAGTAAACCTGCAATTGAAAATCATTATCAGAACTCAAATAAAATATGTAAATGGTGGGATTGAATTTGAAACAAAATTGCAGGGAGAAGCGATAAATTAGCAACCATCAGAGAAGTTAATTAATTCAGGTTGGTGGAATCAGAGGGCGGACGGAGGCGGAGGCGGAGAGGGAGGCGCCGGCGGAGGGTGGGCTGTGAGAGATTAAAAGAGAGAGATTGTGAGAAACGAAGAAGAAAAGAGTTAAAGAAGAGGGGAAATAGAATTAGGGTCTGTCTTCTAATTAAAATTTTGGCGACGATTTATACAAAATCGTAGTAAACAAAGACTAAAACGAATCTCTTTGCGACGTTTTATTGGCTTTCGTAGCAAATAAAAAAAAAAAAAAAAAACTTAATAGAAAATCGTAGCAAACAAAGACTAAAACGAATCTCTTTGCGACGTTTTATTGGCTTTCGTAGCAAAAAAAAAAAAAAAAAAAAAAAAAAAAAAAAAACTTAATAGACGTGCGACGTTTATATAACGACGTCGCTACGAGAGGACTTTTTATTTTTTATTTTTCCTTTGCGACGATTTCGGAACTATAGTCGCGAGTTAGCGACGATTAATATTTTGCGCCGCTAGACTAAACACCAAAATCATAATTTCCGACATCTTGCGACGATTTTTAATTTAAAACGTCGCAATTCCGCGACGATTCATAAATCGTCGCCAAAAAAAATGTCGCCAGTGAGACTTTTTATTTTTTATTTTTCTTTTGCGACGATTCTGGAATTATGGTCGCGAGTTAGCGACGATTACTATTTTCGTCGCTAGACTAAACACCAAAATCATAATTTCCGACATCTTGCGACAATTTTTAATTTAAATCGTCGCAAGATCGCGACGATTCATAAATCGTCGCCAAATAAAACGTCGCCAGTGAGCTGTTTTGGCCTAGTGATTGAGTCAATGGGGTTTGGATCATTTGCTAGACTTCAACTGGATCATCTGGACAAAGGGATACTGAGATGGATAGTAGAAAGATACGATCCATATAACAATTGTCTCAACATACGCCATCATTGTTATTCATTGGATGATAAAGATATTGAAAATGCTTTCGGTGTACCTGCCACTGGTCAAACCATTCTATTGGACAACTTATGCTCGGATGGGTTGCAAAAATATGGAAACTTATTCACACTTATCGATGGACGAGTAGACATGAAAAGTTTAGTTGAAAGCCTTAAAGCATGTGATAATACGGGTGATGAATTTAAGGTTATGTATATGGCCTTGTTGTTTGGCACAGTATTATTTCCCAGTTGCCGTCAAAACTTACCGATACATTATTTGAATCCTTTGGTGGCGATAAACAACATTAAAGAACTTAATTGGGCGAGCCTCATTTTGGAAGTTCTAAGTGATGGAATTAGACAATGGACAAAAAAAGAACAAACATATATATGTGGATCTTTATTATTTCTTCAGGTATAATTTAATTAGATCAAATGCAATACGATAATTACATTTACCACATTGTGTGTTGAAATAATATATTTATTGGTGATTTACAGGTCTTCTTTTTTGCGACTATACGACCAAAAATTTCACAGTGTACCATCAACTTAACATCCGAACGACCTTTCTTGGAATTTGTAACGAGGCAAAGGGTCAGTTCTTTGATGTCTGATATATCAAAAAGTGGAGGATATTGGAGTGAGAATGTAATTACTCAATATATGTTGTTCGAGTATCTATAATTCTCAAACTCAGTTTATAATTCAATTGTAATCCATTTTTCAGGCATGCACCTTCGTTTTCAAGGAAAGTCCCACGCGTAGTCAGAGAAATACTTTGTTTAATGACGTGCAGCATACAGGTAAAACAAAAGTTGAAACAAATGTTAAAACAGAAGTCAAAACAAAAGTTAAAACAGAAGTGGGGGTTGCTGAAGTTGCTAGTGAACATAGGGATAGAGATTTTCCGAGTGATCTACAAAAGTTTATGAGCAAACAAAATGAGGATAGGAGTACTGAGGGTTTCAAAGAGGATGTGATTAACCATTCGCACGACACACGTCAAAGAGAGAAAGTGCATGATAACTTTCACACAGGAACCAAATTATCGTTATTAAGTGCACAAGTAACGGGGCATGATAAACGAATAACTGGTAGCGAGAATCAAATAGCTCAATTAATCAGTATTATGGATAATTTCTCGAACCGACTTGCAAGCGTAGACCAAGGTGGATATCAAACAGTCAACCAGGAATTAGGAAATAAGATTGTCGCTATGCTTCAGAATTTAGAGGCCACTCTTCCGCAACTAATACGAGATGCATTGGACGAAGTCATGTTTAAGACAAATAAGCAACAAAAATCATTAAACGTCAATATCGAAAGTCCAAACATGGTCGAATCTGTTTTTGAAATGACTAAAAACAATACAATCGACCTTACTTCATATGATGCTGAACAACCAGTTGCAGCGAAACAAGAAGAAGCCCCAATCAGCCCAGAAGAACATGAAGATGTCATAATTGACTACTTGTTTAATCCAAACTTGGATCAAAGGTAAAGTAGATCGTAATGATTGTATTTTTCAATAGGAATTTTTTATTTCCTTATTTAATTTATACTATTTTATTTGTTCAGAATGTCGGTAATAAAGTTTGAAGCAATTGGATGTAATAGGAACGACCTATTGTGCTTGAAGCCTGAGACATTCTTAAACGGGACTGTAAGCATATATATAACCTCATATTATAATGCTGTAGTCAATTTTTTTGATAATATAACTATATTGCTATATCGTTGAATGAAAGGTGATAGATTGTGTGGCACATATGCTCACACAAAAGGCCAAAGAAAATTTCGCGGAGAATAAGTTGTTCCTGCCAGCACAATTTGCTGTAAGTTTCTATATGCTTAGTAAATCAATAAAAAAATTATTTTAATTATTTTATTTTTATTTTGATATATTATTAATATTCATACTTTTTTTATGTAGCAACTTTGCTTGGCCGGAAAAACAATAATTAATGACGACAAGATCATACCGTTCCTGCGATATTTGACAAATGAAGTGGAGGATGATTGTCAGATATATTTGCCAATTAATGATCACAAGGGGCATTGGTTCCTTGGTATTGTCGATTTAGAGATGAAACATGTCCTTATTTGTGATACACTTCTATCAGATGCAACAAAGGACTACAGAAGAAATTTATTGTATGAAGTGGTAAGTTTAACAAATAATAATTTTATTTGTATAAGCATTGTTTGATAATTTTTTTTTTTTTTTTGTTTATGGGAAATTTGATTTTTTCTTACGTTACTACTATTTTGTAACTGCAGATTACTCGGATGGAGTGTTTGTTCGAAAAATTGATGCCATGCAAATACCGTATAAAGAGCATACAAGATAAATTTGAATGCGATTACCCAACATGGGTTCCTAAACAACCGAATTTGTATGCTTTATACTTTTATTATATACTACATGAAATAGTTTTATTCATGTATTACCATTGCTAACGTAGTGTAATGTTACAGCTATGATTGCGGAGTGTATGTTTGTATGATGATGATGTTTGATAGAGGAATACAACAACTATCAGAGGTAAAAGGATTTATGTATTTACTTTATTTCATTGAAGTATTTATTTCAATTGTTTTCTAATGAATGTTTTGTATATCAGAGTCAATCTGTTGTTGTCCGAGAACGAATTGCCGTTGCTATGTATAAATGGAAGAATAATAAATTTGCTTGGCCGAGATAAGATGTGTTGTGCACAGTGACGAACATACAATGATGTTTGGATTAAAATAGCTTGATAACAATATTGGTGGTTTTCTTATTATGCTAGTATTTAGTTGATATATAATAATGTGGTTATTGGTTGACACTGTCATTGCTATTACGGAGTAGGTTGCAACTTATAATTTTCGAACAAGTTATAAGTTTTTTTTTCTGCATTTCTTTTAGCTATTGATAGATAATTTTCAAACTAGAACTTATAATTGGGAATAATTTTCATGCTATTTTTTTTTTTTTTTTATGTTTTGATTTTTTTTCTTCTTCAATACTATTCTTTTCTTTCTTTCCCCAATTGAGCATGATAGCTTGTAGTTGGTTTGTTAGCATTCAACGGTCTACAATGTGCAATTATGTTGAGTTTGTTTAGAGTCTTGATTCAATGATCTGTTTCGTGATGCAATGAATGTTTAAGAATTATGATATTTTGCGTGCTTATTAGTTATTTTGTCAGAGTCAGTTTAATATAGAGTTCGCTGAAATCGAATTTCAAATGAATGAGTTATGATTTTTTCTTTAAAGACTAGATAGTTTCAGGCGATTTTTGTATTATATCTTAAAACTTAAGTTTTATTTTTTGGATCGAACGGATTCTAATTGCATTTGAAAATAGACTCACAAAATTTGATTACTGCAAAGTTTCATATTGTTTGGACAAATATCGATTTTTTTATGAATTTAAAAAAAAAATCCACTGCATATGAGTTTTGTTGTCAGAGCTGTACATTTTTTTTCATTACTCAAAATCTGTTGATCCTTTTGTAAAACTGTTTCACAGACATATTAAACAGTCAGTTTAGAGTGTTGTGCTAAAGTTTCAGATTTTTCCGACAAGTAACTTGGGAGAAATAAATTTTTGAAGTTAAAACAACGAAGCTGTCCGATTTCCTTATGTTGTGTTTCTTTTTATTAAACTTATTTATTCTCTATCATATTTGTTTTGTGATGCAATGAATGTTCAAGAATAATGATATTTTGTGTGCTTATTAGTTATTTTGTCAGAGTCAATTTAATATAAAGTTCGCTGAAATCGAATTTCAAATGAATGAGTTATGATTTTTTCTTTAAAGACTAGACAGTTTCACGCGGTATTTGTCTTATATCTTAAAACTTAAGTTTTATTTTTTGGATCGAACGAATTCTAATTGTATTTGAAAATAGACTTACAAAATTTGATTACTGCAAAGTTCAATACTGTTTGGACAAATATCGATTTTTTTATGAATTTAAAAAAAAAAAAATCCGCTGCATTTGAGTTTTGTTGTCAGAGCTGTACATTTTTTTTCATTACTCAAAATCCGTTGATCCTTTTGTAAAACTGTTTTACACACATATTAAACAGTTAGTTTAGAGTGTTGCTCTAAAGTTTCAGATTTTTCCGACAAGTAACTTGGGAGAAATAAAATTTTGAAGTTAAAACAGCGAAGCTGTCCGATTTCCTTATGTTGTGTTTCTTTTTATTAAACTTATTTATTCTCTATCATATATCGAAATTTCGGAGCGTAACAGCTACCATAGTTGTTTCGTCGTATTGTTACATTTTTTCTTGGTATGCAGACTTTCAAATGAATTATGTTTTTCATCTCATACATAATTAATTGCAAAACGCCACCTCGTACATAATTAATTGCAAAACGGCATCGATCAACCATTTTTTATTTATATAACACGAATCTTGAAATAAATAGTATTATGATCGATCCAATACCTGAAATGTAAAATTTTCAGTAAAATCATGGCGCCCACAAAGCCTTACAACAATTCAACATTCGGCCAAATATTCTTTTTCTTTTCCTTCCCTTCCTAAATTCAATTATACAGATAAAGATTGGTTAATAAAACAAATTCAATACATCAAGTTCATTAACCAGTGAACTTTAAATTCAAAAAAAAAAAAAAAAAAATTAGCCCAATACGTGGATGTAAGCTCTGATATACAAAAACATGTAACAAAAATCAATAAAATATCTGGAAATAAACCATATAAATTTTAGATGATAAAAGGAAAAATTTGAGTATATCAAAATTTCAATAACTATTCAAAAAATGAAGAAAAACATCAACATATCAAACTATCAGATGTTTCTATTGAATTTTGAGAACCATCCTGATGTTTATTACTGGTTCCTTTTTTAAATCTTGACTTCTTGGCATGAGCATTAGTACGTCGAGAGGCAGTGTCAGGATTAACAATACATGTGCTAGCTTTATGCCCAAACTCCCTTCAAGAAATAGCATAACAAACAATAAGTACTATTGACAAATAACATTTTCTTTTTTTTCAGACATGACAAACAACAAATATTATAAGACATGAGTTTGCTTAAAACCAATTCAAAGTACACACATACCTGCAAAAACTACATTTTTGTTGTTTAGCACGACTTGCCCCTCTTGTCTTTATTCGTTTAGGATCATTAACATTGCTAGATTTTGTACATACTGGGGGGTCGTCAACATTTTCAAAAGACATGCTATCAACATTGACGTCGTGCTTTGAGAATTCTTCGGCTGCCTCATTGGAAAATTTTCTTACTTGCGTGAGGCATTCAACAAATTTGGACTCCGTGTGAGATGATAGGTAAGACAAGTGAAGAAACTCCTTATTTAAATGCGCAAAACGTGTTTGTTGCCGTCCAACTACTGGGATAGCTTCAGGAAATTTACTTTTCAGTATTCTACCCGTATCAAGAAGCCAACGGGTATGTATACTTTTTTCTGGAAACTCTGTCATCCCCATAAACTTGAAGGACGATATGATATGTCGGCAGGGCACACCCTCGGACTCAAGCTTCAGGCAACTGCACGCGAAAATACTATTAAACTTGTCAATAATTACATAATACCGTGCATCATCAGATTTGTTGTAATTTTTAAATATAAATTTACAATGTTCTTCACTTATCTTAATATGATTTTCCACCAAAAGACCTTGCTCTGCTTCAATCTCTTCACGTATCATATAGAAAATTTGTTTCGTGCATATACTAGCAGCATGTTTCTCAAGCCCTTGAAGAGGACTCTCTCTGACAGCAGGCTTGAATTTTTCTAAATCGTTTTGCTGACTAAGGAAAGAACTTCTTAACCCTTGTATTTTGCGTTCAAATTGATTTACAAACTCGGCAAAACTCATCATTTGAGTGACCGCAAGCTTGATCAATGAGTTCATAGATTCAGCCCTCTGAGTTGTACATGCCATGGCCATAAAATGTCCACGAAAATATGCCTCTGCCCACATCTTTTTTTTCTTGTACATGTCAATAACCCATGACTTTTCTGCTACCTCATACATCTCAACCATGTTAAGCCAGCTTATCTCAAACTCATCAATGGAGCACGGTTCTTTCAATAATCTCATAAAATCAGAACAAAAATCTGCCACTTTTATATTTTGTCGAACATTTCTCCCAAGATGCCAACTACAAAGCCTATGTTTCGCTCCAGGAAATTCTGATGAAATTGCTGCTACCATAGATGAGTCCTGATCTGTTAACACAGAACCCGGAACTTTGCCATTCATTGCCTCAAGAAATGCTTGCAACAACCATCGATATGATTCAATTGTCTCGTTGTACATAAAAGATGCACCAAAAATAAACGTTGAACCGTGGTTGTTGGTACCAGAAAAAATAACCAGAGGATAAAAATACTTGTTTGTCTTATATGTACTATCGAATATTAAGACATCGCCAAATATTTCATACTCAGCCCTGGAAGCTCCATCGCACCAAAAGAGTTTTGAAAGTGCCCCTTGGTCATTCACTGTGTATTTGTAAAAAAACTCACTATCCTTTATCTTCATGCTTTCAAATATAGCTAATGACGTATTCACATCACCGCCTTCGATTCTTTTTAATCGCATACTGTTCAACCAATTGTAACCATCCTTTCTTGTGAAAGACATTTTTCCAACACCTCCAGCAAGTTGCTCCAACAAATCCATAGCTTGACACGGCCTAAATCCGGCATCTGTAATTAAATTCAGCATACACTTGTCGGGCATTGAAATGTACCTATTAATAGAATCAAACGATGAACTTTAAAAAATTGATGCAAATAACAATAAAAGTTGCGACTAAAATAAACTAGTAGATTTTATACCTTTTCTTGTAACCTCGTAAATCGTGATTATGTTGACGCTCAAACTTTGTCACTGAATAGTGCCCTGAAAAACGGTCATGTGCAACACGAAAGCATGCTATACAACCACACCTGGTCACAACTTTTGCCTCTCGTTTCCTAGTATAGTCAGCTTTCGGTCGTCTGCGGAATCCCTCGCATGCGCACACCCATTCCCTGTACTTTATGATGTCATCCGCGGTTTTACGTTTTACACCTTGTTTCCTAATGCCAAAACCAACTACACCGGCATACAATGTGTAAAATTTCTCTGCATCATCAAGACTTTCGAATACTAGTTGTCTAACCGCATCCTCATTGATATTCTCAAAATTGAAATCAACTGAATCACCTAAATGATTTATACCATGATAGTTCATATCATCATGCTTACTATCATCCATGCAATTACTTTCGTCCTTATTAGAAGGTGAAATTGGTTTCTCATTTTCAGTATCAAAATCCATACCTACAAAATATGATTTATAAAAAAATAAAAATGAAAGCAAATCAATAAAATTTCTAATAAGAGAATTTTTCATTTTCAGTATCAAAATCCATACCTACAAAATATGATTTATAAAAAAATAAAAATGAAAGCAAATCAATAAAATTTCTAATAAGAGAAAAAATAATTTATAGCAGATATTTATTTATAATTTATAAATCAAGAGAGTTGGAAAATGAACCACTACATGATTCAGCAGAACATTGCCGCCTATGAAGAGATAAGGGGCATATATGGGCGGATTTGGTGCATTTTTTTTACTGTGATATCCCAATTTTACATTTGCTCTGCCTTCTTTCCAATAAAATAAATATATAAAAGGAATTATTAGTGTTTACAACATATGATGAATAGGAAAAGAACCAACAATTGATTATATTTCTATTTCACATTCCTACTGATTGATTACAAGAGTGGAGGTCTACAAATTCAAGAAATCAATTACGATGAGTTACACATATTATTGAAGATCATGTAAGCAAATCTCTACTCTTTCGAAATTATAAGCATGACGATATTACTATAGTTGATTCAGATTAATCTGGTAATCCAGTTGCGTATAATTGATCAACCAGAGAATCCAAATATCAGAAACAATTTCACATTTATGAGCACTCGTCCAAATAACAGAAAAACCCAAAAAAAAAAAACAAAAGTTTCGTGATCCCGAGTTTGTATATTTATAGAGCATGTAAATAATTCACAAGGCTCAAACTCAAGTATCAAAGTACAAAAGAAAAAAAAAAAAGTTAACGACAAAAGCATTTAAATATCTTAAATGGCAAGGCTCACTTGAAATTAAAATCTTAATACGAAATTTAAATTCAAGTATCGAACTACCACAAAATAATTTTATTCAAAAATAGCAATATCACATGTTTTAAATACTTAGTGATATATGCAACAGGGCCAAAACATAATAAAATACAACAGAATTGATTGTGAAATCGATATAACCAATAAACTATGAAACAAGAATTTACATTCGATACTTACCAAATTACAGAGTTGGATCTTTCGAAATCCTCCTCGTGGTTGACGGCCTCACTCTGGCGTAGTGGTGCCTCGAATCTCAGACGATGAATCTTGTTGTTGAAATCTCACTCTACCCAAAGAAAAGATCTCCAGATATGACCAATCGTCGGCCGGAAGAAAAGACGGCCGGTGAGAGAGGAATAAGATGACCAATTGTATTCAGAGGAACACCCCACTCGATTTTCGTCTCGAATTTACCCTCAGGCACCTGTTTTATAAGGCCAATCAAAATTTAGAACATAAATAAATCTTGGTTAAAAAATTGTAAGGACAAAGTTTTTGCCTGCTTCAACTGCTTCTGTGTAAGAGACGGATTTCAAATCTTCCGTGCAATTTTATAATATCCATTTGCAAATAAACTTCAAGAAGTTAATTGCACACTCCCTAGGATTCTAGAAAATTGCACCTATATTTATAAGTAACATGCATGGAATAATATAATGTACAAATTAAAAATTAAAATAAAATTAAAATTAAAAAAATAGATCTCAATTTCGGAGAAAGCCATTTCGATCTCAACCTTCCACATCTCGGCCAACAATTTCTCGAATCAGATCTCTCTGCACGAAATCTCGACCCGAAAGAGTAAACATTCCCAAGGGCAGAAGCATAACTTTCCAAATGCATTCGTCCCAAACTCGTTAATTACGTCATGCAAGAAAAGAAATTTTCACTTTTTTGGACAATTTTTCCCCCATGTTTTCGCCTTTGTTCGTTAGCTTCCAACTGTGAAGCTAACTCATTTGTTTCCTTGAGGTCATGAATAGCAACAGCAAAAGCTTCTTTATTGCTTTATGTTCTTCCGAGTTCTTCGATTTTCTTGGTTTTTTTTTTTAATGAAAGCCTTTATAGTTTCGAGTTTTACACCTTCGGTTTTGTACTCGTCTGTTTCTTGATCATCTAATAAAAAAATTGTCACTTGGAATTTTTTATCACCTAATCCATCAGAATTGTTTGTTCTAGGGGAAATTAGGGGAAAAATGATAAAGTTAAAGGAGAATAGAAGGCCAACAAGGCCAATGTATTTGATGAGGATAAAGAATGATGGAGACAATTAAACTAGTTGAACAAGAAAGGCAGACCCCAATATTCTCTTGCCCACTCAAATGGCCATTCCATTCAGAACTTTTAGCAAACAGTTGTTGTGCATCACAAAAGTTCACACGATCAATTAAGTAACGAATTACAGAGGCTTGAAAGTGATAATAAAAAAACAATGATTTTGTTCAAAACACAATAAACTTAATTGTGAAACGATATAACGAAGCAAATCGAAACTAAAAGTTTAAATCCAATAGTTACCAATTTCAGGGTTGAATCTTAGCGACCCACCTCACACTCTGGCATACGCGGTGTATCGAATTTCAAGATGAATTTCGTGGATGAAGGGTCTCTGCCGAGAAGAGATGTTGAGAGCGGCTCAATCGTCGGCCGGAAGAAGAGAGGAGACGGGAAGAGAGGGAGAAAGGTTCAGAGGGATGAACGCAGGAACATTAAATATTTTATGATAATTATTGCTTGTAATTATTTTTAGTGATTAATTATTAGTTTATAATTAACTTTTAGTTTTAGGGGTTTTTATGTAATTTAATTTATAGGGTAGGCATCGTACATTTTTTACTGGGTACGTACTAATCCTACTTGTCATATTCTTATTGGCTGATTACGGTCCGAGAAGTACAACCCTCTCGGACCCTAGACAACCCCTACTAATATTAATACTAATTTTCATAATCGTTAGTATATTGGTTGTATAAGTAATTTCCATAATCAGTTATAAACAAATTATTAATTTATTAAAATATAAAATATGGAAACTTCAAAATACTTCCGTCTATTTTATTTCCAAAATATTGATTACAGATTAAATTTTAAATAATAATTTTTGAACAATATAATATAAAGATTTTTTTGTGAATTTTAATAAACAACCGAAATATGAAATAAAATTAATTCAAATTATTATGGAAATAATGAGAAAATAAAATCATACATAATAATAATTTTATAAATAACCGCATAAATAAATAGCACTATAATATAAATTAATCTAAAATCATTCAAGAACGCCTCATTCACCATTATAGTGTCTTTCCCATAGAAAATAATAATATCCATTTCTATTAATGCATGATTTTTTAAGTTAAAAGAATTCCTATAATTATATTACGGTAAATTACAACTACACTTCTGAGATATACTTAAATAACTTTAAAGTTCTTATGGTATCGATAATTACACTCAACCCCCCCCCTCCCCCCGAAACGTAGTTAGAAATTCTAATGGAATAATGCATTTGGATACATTATTCGGATAGGGTTCTAACGGACTATTACTTTTAGCTAGTGGCGGAAACAAACATAGAGTTATGGGGTGGCATGGCTCCCCCAACATTTCTTTAATCACCCATAGTTCTTTGTTGTCTCCGCCACTTCCAGAAACCTATAGTCCATTAGAACTCTATCATAATAACGTATCCAATGCATTATCCCATTAGAGTTTCTAACTACGTTTCAGGGGGGGGTGACTGTAATTATCGATACCACAGGGACCTTAAAGTTATTTAAGCATACATCAGGAGTGTGGGAGTAATTTACCCATTATATAATAGTTGAAGATGCTTTTAGGAATTTCACCTTTTTCAAAATCAAAAAAAAAAAATAATACATTTTATTCCTAAAGTTTATAAAATTTGTAGACATGTACTCGATGTTATTGTCAAGTATATAATAGAAACAAATATCACCTCTTCAAAAAGAGAAAAACATAGAAGAATTGAAATATGGATATAGTTTCAAAAATATATAAGGTCTTATTATTTAAATTAAGACATCTACTCGATGTTAGTTAATATATATTAAAAAAAAACGAATATCTCATCTAATAAATATATAAGGAATTAAATAAATATAGTGTTAAGTTATTTATAAACATGTAAAGGACATTATTTCATATGTTTTCATAAGTTAACGGAGTCGGATTTTAGTCACATAATATACAAATTATATACAACAAAAAGTATATACAAATTTTAAGAAATTTATTGTTCTTTATTAAAGAAATCGAAATTTTTGAATTTTCATACAGCATATTGAACCGGTTTATTAAAAAATAATAAATGTGATGATTAAATAAAGCAACTCCGATGGCTTGGGAGATATCAAAATGGACGATCAAACACTTAATTGATACTTATTATTCCAACCAGTAGGTATCAAATAAATTATTATCCCTTTTTGGTTGTAATATGTTGATATGTTTTTTTTTTCACGTTGAAATTGCATGAGCAATTTTAATGAAAATTTGATTCCATTTTTTTTTTTTGTGCATTTTTGCACCTCAATACGATGGAAGTATAAAAAAACAATTCCTCTGCTTTTCTGAAAGTGATAATTTTACCATTTAATACTCCATTTAATTCCCCGATTGAGTTGCTAATATCCCAACAAATTAGGTGTAGACAATCACAGAACAACTCCAACACTA